GCCAGATCTGGCCCCTGGGCTTTAGCTTCCCCATCCCTGCACTAGATGTACATACCTTTAAGGGATAGATTGAAATAAGTTGAATTTAGTTTTATTTTATTAATAAGAACAGTGTTTCTAAAAGTTAGAAGAATATTTGTATAAATATATTAAGTGCCCAGAAGTGCATGACAGATAGATATAATATTGATAACATGTATGTTTATCTGTCCTTGTTAAATAAGCTTTTTGTCTTGACTAGCACTGTAGAAACTTTGTGCTGAAAATGTTTTTGAACCCAGTCAGCTTCTAACTGGACCAGGATTTACTGAAGCTGATAGTGCTTCAGATGAGACTACTTGTTAAGTATCTATCTCACCGATTCAATTTACTGCTGACAGGACTGTAAACCAGACCTATAAAAACACTCACTTGATGCCTGCAATTTCTTATTACTTTCTCTTTACTGAGGTTTTTTTCTTTTTTCCTTTTTCTTCTCTTTTTTTAAATTCAGGTTAATTCATTCTGAATAAAATATACTATCTGAACTAATTTAAAGCTATTTCCTTCTCTGTGAATCACTTTTTTGCTTTATCCTTATTCTTATTAATCACCTATGCAATTTATTAAAATCAGGAAACGCTGCTGTTATAGAAAAAGTTGCCTTCCCATAGTTGTACATAACCAAAGCCAAGTCACAGACTCTTTGTATTTGGTATATGGGAATACTACCAAGCAAATGGAAAAGTGTATTCAGTGTTTACTATCTAGTGTAAAACATGCATGCACCACTCCATATCCAGCAATTTAATGGATTAAAGCTCTGTACTGTATTTAGTTGCAAAATTGTCAATAAACTTTCTATTACATTTTTTAAAAAATAACTTGTACTAGAGCTGATTAAATAGTAGAAGAACATTGATACACCATTTTACCAATATTTGTAAAATTGTATACTTGTTAAATTGTATTTGATCAGTTGCAGTGTTTTATTGGAAACTCCAAAAAACACTAAAAAATGGCCATACTGGGTCTAGGGATGTTAGTAACTAATCAACTAGTTGACTAACTGATAAGCAGGAGCTTATTACTAGAGCTGATTAAATAGTAGAAGAACATTGATACACCATTTTACCAATATTTGTAAAATTGTATACTTGTTAAATTGTATTTGATCAGTTGCAGTGTTTTATTGGAAACTCCAAAAAACACTAAAAAATGGCCATACTGGGTCTAGGGATGTTAGTAACTAATCAACTAGTTGACTAACTGATAAGCAGGAGCTTATTGATTAACCATTTCCATTAAT